GACCCGGCGACAGCGCCCGGCCCGGCCGGCACCGCGGGGCTCCCGAGCTCTGCGCCCCGGCTGCGCTGCGCCCCGGGATCCGTCTCGTCGCTCAGAGCGCGACGCACGCGTCCACGTGAGTGCTTTAAAATTGAATTTCATCAGGAAAAGCTGGGGTCAGTGGTAGCTTCTTGTTTTCTTTCTTTCTTTCTTTTTTAATTTTGAGGAGCAGAAAGGAAAGGAAGGCTGGGCTCTGACAGTTGCTGTCCCAGTCTGCGCTTTTCCTGGTCGGGCGCGTGCGGAGAGGGCAGCGCTGACTCTGTCGTCGCCGCAGCCACTTCGGGCCGGCCGTGGGGCTGGGCCGGGCAGGCGCTCTGCGCACCCGCAGCCCCCGTGAGCAGGGTCCCGGCTGCCGGTCACCATTAAACAGTTAGATGCGGGAATCGCGAGATTCCAGAAGTCAGCTTTCATGAAGTCGTTTGCAATGACTGCTTCTGAGATCGAACCCAAGCTTGCTTTCTGCAAAACAGGAATTGCCCCGGTTTTGAAAACTTAGCGGCTGTTTGCCTTGCTGCCTGTTGGGCGCTGGGGTCCTGAAAGCCACTCAGGAAAACCCTGGATAAGGAGGAGGGATCTGGGAACCTGCGGGTCACTTGAAGTGCAGTTTTACAATTTGTGGGGCGTCTCTGGTGATCCCTAAGGAATCTCCTGAGCTTTCTAACTTAGAGTCACAAATTCTCACCTGATGACCAACACCCCAAAAGATCACCTCTCAGCCCTTCTCTAGAGCTGGAGCCCACAGGGAGGGAATTTTAATGCAGGGCTTTGCCCCCACCTGCCCGCGAATGTTTCCTCTCCCTCTCCAGTGCATTTCAGTTTTGAGCTACCTTGTTTTAAATTTCTGGAGACAAAACGGTGCTGGAAAAAATAGGACCTTACTATATATATCAATTTCTATCAAAAGAGGAAATTGTATGGAAATCCAAAACATACTTAATATGGTTAAGACTTTTGACTTTCATAGAAATTCACATGATTTTAAGAGTTGGTTCATTTTGGCTCTGAGTTGAGTTGAAATGGGAAGAGAGGAATGCCTCGTTTTCTTTGTTGGAAGATATTTGGTGGATGAGGTTAACTGGATTCATCTCTTATATGGGAAGTGTAAAGCTAACAATGTGAGTATTATTTATATTAGCATGCATCAGAATTGTTTCAATGAGAAATCAGATTATTTGCAATGTGGCTGAAAATTTGAACTGGAATGATGTCCCTGGCAGGAAGATTCCCCAGGTCAACCTGGTGTCTCGTACTGTGCAAAGGGTGTTACAGAAATAACTTGGACCCGTATGAGTGACGATGCCAGACTTAGAAACCCACGCCGTCAGGTCTGAGGGAGCATGTCCAGTTCCAAATTCTCCTAGGAATATACGTGGTACACCCTCTTCGCCAGCGGGTGACCAGAATGCCTCCCTGCATTAGGTGGGGTTTTTTTTTCCTTCTGCCTTTGTGTCATGGTGGTAGTTACCGACTGGAGCTCAGCGCTCCTGGCAGCTGGTTTGATCCTCCAGTTTTATTTAGAATACTGCTACATCTGGGGAAACTGTCTCACTCCCAGATCCAGGGGCATCAGAGTCGTAGCCCATCACCACCACCCTCAGGAGCCCACGGGCTGCGTGTGAAACTGTGTGTGTTATGCTGGCCTCTTTTGAGAAGTGTGTACATGATCTCTGAGAGGGAAAGTAAACTGTGGCTGCCCTCGCCAGCTCCTTTGTGGAAATACCAAGATCTCGGTGACCTTGCTGGCCAGCCCACCTCAGGCCCTGCAGGAGCCCGGGCCGCGTTTTCATTCCTTGGTGAGAGACTTAGTGGGGGGAGGGTGGTTCTTCAGTTGAGGAATTACTTCCCCCTGGATCTGGGGATGTGTGGCTCGCGTTTGGTTCGTGGAGTAGCATGTTGTCAACACAAGTGTCAAATCTTGTGGAACGCGAGAGGATCCTATATTTTAGGATTTACCTGCATTGATATAGACGGGAAAGCAAGGTGTGGCGTGAGTGTGCACACACGGCACCACCCAGCGAGCAGCAAGACGGAGAGAAAGGCAGTGCAGGGCGGTGGGCGCCACGCAGCAAGCCTGAGCACTGACCCTCCCTCTTCTCTTTTGCGCCTTTTATTACAGCCAGAGGGCTTTCTCTATGTATGGGGTAGATCTGGGCGTGAGTGGGGTGACTGCCGTGCTTGCCCCATTTTCTCTCTTCCTGTGACATAACTGCAGCTCTGCAGGCATGTCAGGGCTGGCACCATTTGGCGCCATTGCTTCCCTCTCTAGTCTTGAGAATCAGGAGCCAACTCCACCATGAAATGAGCACAGGTTCTCGTCCTCAACCAGGGGAGGTTTATGCAGGCAAATGCAGCTTGCAGAAAGCCAGCCAAGAGCCACTGGGGTTCGCTGGAAGCCCACGGGCTCTGCCACCTCATTTCTAAGTCGGATGGGTGTTCTGGGGACTCTGTGACACCTGCTTTGAGCCGGAGCTCTGCTGCCGCGCCCGCTCGCCTGCTTGCAGCCTCCCTGCTGGGGTCCCCACACCCTGCCGCAAAGACTTCGTAGCTCTTCGCTTCCTATGTGTTGTGTGCTCCATTTCACAGGGACGACAGGGGCTGTAGAAGCAGCAGGTGACCCACCTTTGGGGCACACAGGGGGAGACGCAGGAATCCACTTCACGTCTTGAAAGAGATGATTCAGTTTTACTCCAAAAAGGCGCATGCATGGTCTATGCAGGTCTTAGAGGCTGTGAGCAGCAAAGGCTCCACATTAATCCCTCCCCCCTGCACGCATGTCTTTAAAATTCAGCCAGGGAGGAGAGGGTGCTTAGGGTGCCCTGACCCCAACCATAGCAACAGCAACAAAGCTGCTGAGCTTTGGCCTGTGGCTTTGGCCAAATGCGACCCTCACATCGTGCGTGTGGAACGTGGCTTCCTCGTCTTTCTTCAAATGGCTCTGTGTACCGGATGAGCTCTCCGTCTCCGGCCGTCTGTGTCCTCGTGCCTAGCTTCTCTGCGTGGCGTTGCTCTTGTCCCACACAGCTCCTGAGGGTCTGAGCATATTGCAACAGACATTTTTGAGACCCGAGGAGACAGTGCCCAGCTCACGTGAGATAACAGCCCTGCAGGAAGGTTCCCCGCAGAGAAGCGGGTGCCTGCGCCTGTTGGGAGGGTCCTTGTGGTTCTACCTAAGGAAGCAAAGGGAGCGAGGCCAAGGCCCAATCTGTAGATCAGTGGCCACATGTGGCCGGTGACATTTTTCTGTTTCTGCTCTTTCACTGTGATAAACACGTGGATGCCAGAGGTGGCTTCATCCAAGCACCTGTGATAAACTGGAAAGAAGGCAGCAAAGGCCAGGCCCTAAGAGTGGAGTCCAGGTTGCCGCCCGTGTCCAGGCCCCCTTTCCTGTGCATGCCCATCCTCTGCCTTCTGGGGAGCTCCCCCGTCCTGAGGGCTAACGAGCGCTCCTCTCCAGGGCCAGCCTGACAAATCAGAGGTCCAGATAATGTCTGAACTCATTTTGGTTGAGACAGGAAGCAGACTCCCTTCCTGTGTGTGTTTTCCTGAGAGAAAACGAGCTTCCCTCCTTCTTTGCATACACGGGGCGACACTGGGCCACCTTCCTCGGCGCTCAGGGGAGGCTGAAGACGGCAGGCAGTGGGAGGCCTGAGGAGCAGGACGGGCCACCAGCGCCGCTCGCTTGCAGGTGCGTAGGTCACAGAAGGACTCAGTGACTGAGGGGCTCGGGGCCAGAGGACACGCGGCAAAGGCCTCGCTTGGCCCTGGGAGCCCGCATGGTTGGTGAGTGCTGCAGGCTTCGTGCTGGGGTGTGTGGTTCAGAGCTGCACCAGGGTCTGTCCCTGTCCTCCCAGGTGCTGCTGCAGGTGGCCCGCACCCAGAGGTCTGCGCCCCCCCCCACCCCACAACAGGCCTGCTGCCTTGGGGAGCACCATTAGCTGCGTCTGCCCCTCCTGCTGTCGGGCGGGGCCCTGTGCCACCTCCCCGTGGCTGGTGGCAGCGCTTTGACTTAATGAATTGCTTCAAATGGGTCCTGGTTAGTGCCAAAGGCTGTCTTCGTCTTGTCTCATCAAGTGCGCAGCAATTTCATTTTTCTCCAGTGAGCAGCTCACCGCTACTCCTTTCCGGCCATCCCTCCCTACATCTGGATATAATTGGCAGATGGCTCAGGGTGATGGACAGCAGGGAGCAAGAGGAGGGATCCAGACCGGCCTGCCGGCTGGCTTTGCCCTCTTCCCTCCCTCCCCTCCTTTCCCCTCTCCTCCTCTCCTCTCCTCTCCTCTCCTCTCCTCTCCTCTCCTCTCC